GTGTGTGTGTGTGTGTGTGTGTGTGTGTATCACTGACACTCTGTGTGTGTGTTATAGATTTTCCCCACAACAGCCGCAATTCCACCCAGGTGAATAGATTCAGAATCAAAGCAGTCTTTATCCTATTGCAGAGAACGAGATCATTTGAGATGTCCAACATATTAAAGCAATTTTATAATTACTAATTAGACAGTTTTTTGGTTGTTCTTGGGGTACCCCTTCCATTGTTACCGCTTCCGGATGTAGCTTTCCACCTTTTTTGCCAAGATGCACCCACATTTTTTTTCGTTTCGTGAGCAGTGTGGCGAGGCCCCATATAGCAACTAAGATCTACGAGGTTACTGGGCTATTTGAGAAACTCTGTTGTTGCCTGTTGAGAATGGAGGCTGGGGGTCGAGCTGGCCAATTTGGGGGAGGCTTTCCTTTTTTTTTTTTTTGGGAGGTGGTGAAGTCCATCTATAACCAACTACCGTCTTCACCCAGACAGAACGCGCAAGTCATTAGCACCGCATCTAGACTAAAAGTCGCACCAAATGCATCCAGCTATAATGACCTGTGGCTCAGTGGTTAGGGCACCTGGTTGTCAATGCGCATAATTGTGGTCTGAGGTTGTGGGTTCAAAACTCCGCGCCTCTCCGCAGAGACACCGGTCGGCGGGCGTTTCTATAACGCGTGGTCGCTTGCGTACCCCCCTGGGCTGATGCAGGTAAGCTATTACAGACACTGCCTGTGCACTACCCAAGGGATTGTCCATGGTGTTGTATGTTGGGTCCTGGCCTAGAAGGGGTTTGCCTGATACCGTGGGTTGGTCGAATCGGGTTGGTCGAATCGGGTTGGTTGAATCGGGTTGGTCGAATCAGGTTGGTCGAATCGGGATTGGTCGAATCGGGTTGGTCGAATCGGGATGCAGGTACGGGTTTGTGGTTAGAGACTGCTCATGTGTGTTTGTTACCTTAGGCTCTGCTTTGGGGGGGGGCAAGGACCTTAGCGTTTGGCGGTGGGGTTGGCTCGGGACAAGCTCTGCTGGGGGATATCGGTGGGGAACCTACAGTAGGCGATTGTCTTAAACCGCTAGCGCACGGCCCCAGCCTTGCAGAAAGTTTTTGTTGCCACAAGCAAAACTCGGAGACGCCACGCGGCCAGGCCCGCTGTTGAAAAAAAAAAATCGGCGGCCTCCGAAGTGGTGTGGGTTTCGTGCTGACACCCGCGGGCCGATATGTGGTGTACTCGCTCTTCAAGGGATCCCGGTAGGAGGGGTGTTAGTAGACACACTCTGGTGGAGGACATCGTTGGGGAACCTGCAGTAGGGTGGGGGAGGGGGCTGTCTGAGGGGGATCCTCCAAGATAGGATGGTCTGCGTCCTAGAAATTAGCTGTGCTGACTGTAGATAGGTACCTGTTATGGGTCCAGAAACAAACCCCTACAACACCCTGGACTTTTCATCAAAGAAAGAGGAAAAGGGGGGGGAGGGGGAGGAATGTACAAAAGAAACAAAGAGAACCAATGGGCGTGAGAAGAGGTTAACAGAGTCCTAAATTCTCAGGATTTTTTTAGGGTCGTTATAACAAATGCCCCATATCTTTTATGCCCGACTTGTCACCAGTCCATAGAGTGGACACCAAATAAACCAGCAGCAAAAAAAAAAAAAAAAAAAGAAAGATCAAAGGGGCCTTAAACCCCAAGGCAAAAGTGCATTTTCATGCAAAATTCACTCTTTTCAGTTTTCAGGATTTTTCAGGGCTGGCCAAAACAGTGAACTCCAAGACCCCAACAAACACCAAACTTGGCACACACAGACCTTGACCAAAAATAAAACAGGCCAAAAAAAAAAAAAAAAAAAAAACTGGAAAAAATGATCTCCAATGCATTTTTCAGGGTTGGGGTTGTTACCTTGGGGCTGAATAGTGGGGGTCCCTGTTAACCTTTGGTGATGGGCGTAGCTCAGTTCGTACACCCGCAAACTGTTGAAACACTGGACCCAGTTTCCAGCAGGTTCCCCACCAATGGAACGGAGCCATTTGCAAACAGCGGGCGTAGAGGGGGTGTCTGCTCTTATCAGCATCTCCCCCACGCCTGACCGTGATGTTTCTATAAAAAAAAAAAAAAAAGAAGAAGAAGAAGAAGAAGAAGAAGTAGAAGAAGAAGAAACACTGACGCAAGTTCAAATCCAGATGCTTAAAAAAAAAAGAAAAAAAAGAGAAGAAAAAAAGAAAAAAGAGAAAAGAAGCAGGGAAAGAAAAAGGATGAAAAAAAAAGAAAAAGGAAGGTTGTGGCAGGTTTCAGTGTTGTGAGACACATGAGGGTCTGCATGTAACGTCTTGGTTCTGGTATTTTCTCTCGGCGTTTCAGCCAGATTTTGCCAAAAAAACTTAAAAAAGGTAGTTAAACCCTTTTAAAATCACAACATTTTTGAAGTTTTTCCCCCAAATTTTCACCCTTTTCAAACACACAGTCAGGGAAGGTAGGAAAAAAAAAAAAAAAAAAAAACAACTGAAATCGGTGTCGAATGATCAACGCCATTCGAGGCCATGCACATTGAATCCCCCCAAGTATAGATAAACTCTGATAAAGGGGATTGCTGTTTATTCAACTGTATTGATTCCAAAAAAAAAAAAAAAAAAAAAAAAAAAAAACAAAGGAGATTGCAAAGAACCACATTCTGATATGGTTGCGGACAAACCACAGACTCAAGTCTGTTAAAAAAATAATATCAATTATTAAAATAAATACTAATTTATTATCAAATCATCACAAAGAAAAGAAGAATTGAAGGAATTAGATTCGCCCCTTCAATGCCTTTATTAAATTGCATAATTTCTGGCTTCAATGGTGGCCCCTGAGATAGCCGACATAGCCCTTGTGGGTGGGTGGGTGGGTGGGTGGGTAGGTAGGGAGGGATTCTGCTTGCGTAGAGAGTTAGGGGGAGGAGAGGAGAGGGGAGGGGAAGAAGGAAGAAGAAGAGAAGAGTGACAACCAGCTCATGGACTTCCTAGTCTGCTCTTAAAATTCCGAGTACTTGCTATGCTCACTGTCATTCCACCGGCAATCTTTGGGCATTTCCTTAAACGGAAACTGGGCCGACCATTATGGAGATGCTCCTAGGTAGGGAGTTTCCTGAGATGGAAACTGGGCTGAACCAGCTGGCATGATCCTGGTCTATTTTTTTAATCCAAATCACCTTCTTGATTCCTGCCCGTAGACGATAATCACTGACAGGTACACGAGCAAGGGATTGCCGCCACAGAACCCGTAAAAGCCCATCACCCCTGACCATAACCGTAACCGTCACTGTAATCGTAACCGTCACTGCAACTGTAATCGTAACTGTAACCGTAACCGTAACTGTAATCGTAACTGTAATTGTAACCATAACGGTAACAACAACCATAACGGTAATTGTAAGTGGAACGGTAGTGGTACCGTAACTTTAAAGGTAACGGTGACCATAAACATGACGGTAACAGTCACGGTAAACAGTTAACGGTAACCGCAACTGTGTAAAGGTCACCGTAACGGAACTGTGGCTTTCTATCAAACCTGACAGTAACCGTAACCGTAACCGTAAAGGTCAGTGTAACAGAACTGTGGCTTTCTATCTCAATAACATACACATAAGTTACTTTTTTTTTGTTGGCACCCTCATTTCATTTCTGCCAAGTAGGTGGTGGTTTTCCCACCACTTAGACTCTGACGGTGTCAGTGGCGCCTGGTGTCACGGGCGGAAGGTCCATAAATATGCGCAGGTGGCGTCACGGGCGGAAGGTCCATAAATATGCGCAGGTGGCGTCACGGGCGGAAGGTCCATAAATATGCGCGGGTCGTAGGGGAAGATTGACAAGCTCATAGAGGCTGATGATTGCAATGGCAAAGAGGGGATGACACTCGCAACCCCTTGGCGGAAAAAAAAAAAAGAAGAAAAAAAAAAGAAATGGAAGTGGGGATGCATGCAGTATAAAAAACTATTAAAAATTGAAAATTGCCATCAATTACGATCAAACTAGAATGGGAGAGGACTACTATGACAGTCCATCTGATTATCAATGAAATAAAAATTCAAATAAATTGAAATAATCAAATTTGAAATTTATGATATTTTTATGGCTATAAGTACAACCAAACCAACGGGAGAGAACTGCACCAGGGCTGGACTGAGTTAACCCAGGCTGACAAGAACTGTCAAGAAGATAAAATAAAATGATTTAATGATGCTATAGTGAAGCTAGGGAATGGAACTGGCGGTCATGCCGGGACAACGTCCCAGTTGTCGGGAGTCTTTGTTCTGCGCTGTAGATTGCAAGGATCAATGGCCAGAAACACAGAATCCTGGGAAACTGGGACCTTGTCCCTGGAACCAGGTGGGACTGTCAGGCTAGCCTGACATGCAGAGACAAATGACGAACACTATGTATGGTGCTCGCCACTACTCTGTTTCTGCTCAGAATGTGCTCGTCACTACTCTGTTTCTGCTTAGAATGTGCAGATCGGTCTGATCAGGTACGAGGCTCCCCGTCACGGTGACCATTTTGTGTGTGTGTGTGTGTGTGTGTGTGTGTGTGTGTGAGAGAGAGAGAGAGAGAGAGAGAGAGAGAGAGAGAGAGAGAGAGAGAGAGAGAG